TTCGCGGGCCTAGCACGTTTCAGAAACTGTCAATGTTTGTCGGGTCGAGGCTATGTTTGACTTTCCGACCAGGAGGGGGGGGGGGGGGGGGAGTCCTTACCCCGACCTCTACATCTATGTACTCGTTCCGTATCTGTCGAGGCACGGCACAATAGGCCCGTGGCGGCGAGAACGGACCGTGTCGCAAATCACGTAGTGTAGACATTTTCGGCTCAAGCTATCGGCCCAGCAACGAGAGTCGGCAGCCCTAGACTTGTTCGCCTCACTCCTCCGGGCCTTTTCGGCCTTTTCCATCCCAACTCGGGCGCGCATACCGTCACCTGGCGACAAAGTCAAACAAACGGGCGGCGTGCTTTGTCTCTCTGTACGTCTCTGACGCCAGCATCCCTGCCGCAGGGCGTTGGCGGCGTCTCATCGCCGACGGGTGTATAGTGCAAACACACACACACGCACACACACCACCACCATCACCACCTCCACCACTCCACCATCACCACCACCACCCCACCATCACGCTCACACACACCACGGGCGCGAGATGCTCTGGGGCAAGAGCACGGCCATCTCGGCCCTGCTCTTGTGCTCTTCCCACGCTCGCTAAGAGTCGCCTTTTCCGGCCCTCTGGGCGATCCCTGGTGAAGGGGAGGGAGAGGGCGCCGTCAGCACCGTCGTAGAATTTCAACCACAGGCTGGGCCCTGGCCGGGGCGTGGCGTGGCGTGGCGTGGCGACGGCCATGGTGGCCGCGGACACGGATCCAGCAGCCAGCTTGGAACGAAAACGTGCTTCCTCTCTCATTACAGTCTGAGCGGGAGCGGGGAAAGAAGGTGGAGGAGGGGGTCGCAGGGTGTCCCATAAGTCGACCGCGCTGACAAAACTTTAGCGCGACGACGAATTTGTGGGGGGCCCGAAAGGTTTGTGGGGGCAATGGCAAGAGGGAATGTGTTATGGGAAGGCCGTGCGTGCTCTCCGCTGTGGCTGTGCCGCGGGGCGGCGAGGGCCCTCCCCTCTGAAGCCTTGCCCTCCGCGGCCTGCCCTCCGCGGCCCGCCCCTGCCTGCCCACGAGGCGCTTCCCCGCGGCCCGGTGTATTTTTAAACATTGCACTCACACATCCCCGACCATCGAGATATTTGACTTAATTGGACGATGGATGCGCGAGCAGCGCAAGCACGCCGCCGGGATGCCAAGGAGCCGCGCACAATTGGGGTCTGCACTGAGCGACACATCGCCCGGGCCTCGGCCCCGGCCGAGGGAGGTGCGCGAGGGGCCCACAACTCCGAAAAATCTTGTACACCTGATTTCAGGATTTCACATGATTTCACAGATTTCAACGGATTTTCTTTGATTTCAAGAAGATTTCCGCTGATTTCAGTATGATTTCCACCGATTTCAGTTCGATTTCCATTGATTACTTTCAGACGATTTCAAGTGAATTCGTGTGATTTCATATGAATTCAAGAGATTTCATATGAATTCAAGAGATTTCATATGAATTCAAGAGATTTCAGGTGAATTCAAGAGATTTCAAATGATTTCAAGTGAATTCTAATTACCAAATTTTGCAGATTTCGAAGTGATTTCAAAGGAATTCGAGGAATTTGAATGCGATTTCCATTGCATTTGAACGAATTCAAGGTGATTTCCAGTGAATTCGCGAGATTTCCAATGAATTCGGAGGATCTCATGTGATTTCAGTGAATTCCGGTGATTTCCAAATGATTTCGGGGGCCTGTACACCTGAATTCCAGAGTTGTGGGCCCCTCGGAGGTGCGCCTCGCTGTGGTGACGAGAGAGACGGGG